TCCGCCAGCTCCGGCAGCTCCTCCACCTCGTCCACGGCGCGGATCACGAAGACGCCGGAGTCGGCCGTGCGGCGGTAGGCCTTGAGGCCCGAGAGGGCGACCCCCGTGACGCCGAAGATCGAGGCGATGTGGCCGACCGTCAGCACCGGCATCAGCAGCGAGGTGAAGGCCGCGGCGTGAGTGGAGACGCCGATGACGGCCGCGAAGAGGCTCGCGAGGGCCCCCGTTCCCAGCGCCGCCCCGCCAAGCGAGCCGATCGCGCCGAGGGTCGTCGCCAGCCCGCCCGAAAGCGCCACGTACGCGGAGACCATCATCGGCGCCGCCAGGCCGCCCCCCACCAGCAGAGCCGCCCCTCCTAGAGTGGAGAACCCGATGATGGTCGCCGCCCGCTTCAGATTCCACTTGCGCTGCCCCCGACGTTCGTCGATATCCTCCTGCACGGGCGAGTGGGGGTTGACCTCGGTGTGCTTGACGTATTCCTCGTAAAACTTCAAACTCATCTTCTCCTGCGCCTCCACAATCGTGAGCGGGACGTTCAAAATCCAGCAGAGCCGCTGCGAGGCCGCGTGAAGTCGCGCACTATAGTTACCGAGCCGCATCGCCAGGTTGAAGGGGAGCTGCACGACGACGGCATCCAGGGAGCTGTCAAAGAGCCCCACCAGGCGAGCCACATCCTCGCTTGTCCAGCGCTTCTCTGTTAGACAAGGTAGAATATACGGAGGCGGGAGGAAAAGACCATCGAATATGTTGCGAAAGTTTTCATCGCTAATTACAATGTAGATCAGCTCCCGTACCGCGAGTCGGTCTTTGAAAGAGAAGATATTCTCAAGCTTGACGTCTTTAAACTTTTCGATGCCAGCTTCAGCTTGCTCTTTAGTGCGTGCAGGGCGCTGTGGACGCCAAATAAATTCATAGGGATCAGAAAGCATGTCACATTCCTTTTGGACGTACCTTTAAAATACAAATTGGACACCCTCTTCTGCTCACAAAAAAAATTTTATACAACAAATAATGGCTTTGTATGTTGATGTCTTTTCATACAGATGTATAGGATTAGCTTAAAACAATTGAACGGCTTTGGAAAAAAGGAAGGCAATGATAGTGTTGTGTGTATTCATAGGTATGAATATCTATGAAACAAAAAGGTAAACCAAATCGCGAAAATAAAAACAGAGAGGTATAAGCCTCCAAGCAAAAGTTCCCATATCAGCTTTAATATACCTTTGTTATATATATGTGTGTGCACAATATATTAGCTTCTTTTTATAAATCCAATACACTACTTCATATATTGGTACGCATATGATGGATGCTACACGAATGAGTTAGAATACCTTTATTTAGGTGTATCATTTTTTTTTAAGGTTTCATTACTCGTTGTTTTCTGTGTTGAACCATAGGGATTTGTAGGTATCGATTAAAGAGCTTGTATAGTGCCATGTTCGGCCGCCGATTATCAGAAGGAAAGTGTTCATGTGTTTCATAAAATACAGAATAATACTACATAAGATGCGATTCAGATGGTTACCTACAACACCAAGGGTTTCACAAATTCTCTATCCTAGTTTTTTTTTACCCTACCGCTATCACCTTGTCATCTAAAATATATGAATATACAAATCACTTTCTTTCTTTTCATGTAAACGTGTTCAAATACACTAACCAGATTTATGTAAAGTTTCTCCTATTAAAGGGTTATCCGCTAGCCATGTGTTTTTCCTTTTTTTTATCACTTTTGAAATGTTCCTCCGCCATGCGGAGATCATCACGGGAAATCTGCAAAACACGACTGCTCCTCGTAATTACAGCAGTATAGTTCGGAACGAAGCTCTGATCGCTCAGAAGAACCTCCTCGGCGAAGGCGAAGAAGGAGTAGACTTTCGTGGAGAGCTTCTTCTCCACCTTCATCTCCGCGGCGCCACCGAGGAGAAGGGTGAATACATCTGTCTGCACCCCAGCATTGTAGAGGATAAGGTCGGGGCTCACCATGCCGCACAACGAGATCTCAACGGTGACGTTGATGATGCGGTCCCCAACGTAGTCGAGAAGTTTTTTCATATCCTCGACGCTCCACGTCGCGAAGGCGACATACATTCGCGTGATATAATCCGCCAAAACCCACTTCTGCTCATCCAATAGGGTCTTGCCCAGCCCGCTCACGGGTTGGTCAATGTCTTCCAACCCGTAAGAGTAGAAGTTCACGTGCAGTTTGTAATTGGGCGGCATCTTCGTTGGGCTTGAAGTCAATGCCGCGTCGTTGGGGTTAAAACTACGATCCGTGTACTCATCCTCATCGTAGATCTCCGCCGCGATTAACTCCTCAATGACGTCCTCCAACGTGAGAATTCCAATAAAGGGGCCGTTCGATTCCTCGTTCTGTATATTCTTCGGTGGGGGGCACTGATTGGGTTTGAGATCCGTCGAGAAGCCCTCTTGGTATGCACAAACTGGCGTCACGACCTGAGTGGTGACTTGGCTATCACCTTTCTTGCAATTACTCACAAGAAGGAGGTGTGGAATACGGTTCTTGAACATTGCCAAAATCTCCTGAATACGGAGGTTGGCATCCACTACCACGATATCGCGTGCCTTGCTCATCACGAAATTGTAGACCGTCGTCGACACCTTGTGGTCTAGGAGGAAAAAATTGAGGAGATCCTTGACGTAGAGCACCCCGACAATGTTTGTTCGCTCATCAACATACACAGGCAACCGCGATTTCCCGATATTCCACAGACATTTGAGCAATTTATAATTCAGCACCATGTTGCCCTCCAGCATGAAAGCTTCACTCAGAGGGGTCATGATTGTTTTTGCGGTTCGCCCATCTAACTCCAGGACTCGAAGCATCATCCGAACTTGCTCCTTATCGATCCCGCTTTTTTCTGAGAATTTATCATACTGCATGCTGATTAGCTTCTTGAACTCATTCCGATCAAAAATTTGACCGGGCTCATGTTTGACGGTTAAATCCAACAACATCCCCAGCGGCTTAGCAATCGGGTAGAAGATCCAAAGCGAGACCTTCAGTGCGGGGATTAATTTGCCTCCCACCACAAGTGCATTACTTCCTTTACAGCAAATACACATCGGAATGATCTCGCCAAAGATCAAAATGACTAAAGTCCCCGCCATGAAATTTATAACTTTACTCGAGTTCAAGATGGCCGCGATGAGCTGGGAGGTGAGGACGATCGCGAGCATATTCCCCAAGAGCAGAGTTACCAGCAGTTGATGCCCCATCCGGCGAAGGGGGAGGATCAACCTTGCATTGCGTTGGTCTGCCTCCGGCCCCGACTCGGCTATAATCTCCAGCGTCGAAGTATTTATTTTCATCAATCCCAGGGTCATCCCACAGTAAAAGGCCGCCATAAAGATGGTCAGCACGCAAAACGGGATGCGGACGCCGAGTGGAAGGATCATATAGAAGTCCTTAGACAGCCGCTCCGCGCGAACCTCCAGCGACACCACCCCAATACCGATCAATAAAAGACAAAATATGTAATGAATCTTACTAGTTAAATACGCTTGCATTCGGTGAATATGAATAAAAAAACTATTATATACCTAATTACCTACTTACATGAGTATAAACGTATACAAATGATATTTACTCACACACACGCTATGTGAGATACGCGTGTGTTCTATTCTTCAATAAGCACTATGCAATTGGTAAACCACAGTAGGCACCCCCACCGATCCCACATAGACACACAGAAAAAAAAAGGGGGGGGGGGGGTAAAGAAAAATTGGAAAAAAAGGATTAACAAAAGGTAATAATGATGCAATGCCCCTAAAAAATGTTGAGAATATACCCAAGTAGAAAAATTACAACTAATAATACCAAAACAAATAGACCTTTTTGACCCCTCCTATGCCAAAAAAAAAGGAAGCATTAGCCCTAGTTCTATATACTACACCAAGTAAAACGACATGCATAAATAAATATATATATATGTATGTATGTTTGTGTGTGTGAAAAAAAATAAAATGCAATAAATTACATAGTAATGTATGTAAAGCTTATGCTATCATAGCATAAAGCATTTTACGATACCTACTTATTTCTCTCCATCTCATTTGTAGATCATAAAACTAGTACTTTTGAACTCCCGTGCAATGGGGTTCTAATGAGTGAAATTATTTGTTAAATGTGCCATATGCCTTTTGATCGGAAATTATGTTATTCCCCAAGGATCCAGAAGAGTTGGAAAAGAGACCTTTTTTTGCTTTCGAACCTTCCAAAAGCGTGTGGTTGGTTGGGAAAGGAAACGGTTTTAAGAGGCTTCTCGGACGATTGGAGTCATTGATGGATTCATTCGATATCATTGGTTGTCTAGTGAGTTGATGAGAAGCGTGTTTGTTGTATAATTCTTTTGATATTGAATAAATCCGTGCAGGTCGAACAACAATTGCGCTAAAATCTGAAATAAAAGGTGAGGAACTAAGGGCTTCCTCAGCAAGATGGCAGAAGGAGTAAATTCGTGTGCTAAAGATCTGATCCCCAACGAGCAGCTCCACCTGCCCTCCCAATACTAAGGTAAAGTTTGTCGAGTGCACATCTTTCTTATATAAAATAAACTTATCCTCTTCCGCTCTTCTCAAAAATTGGGAATGACTAGTGGTTGTTTGCCGGGGAAGATTACTATTACTGTTGAAGGTTCGTCTATCGCACGATAAAAAACTTTCGTTCGGAGATTTTAAGGATTCGTTCATAATTTCGCTCCCTTCAAGCGCCTCTTTCCCGACAATGCTCGAGCGGCAGGTGATTACTCCTTGTGTAAAGTACGAAGACGGTACGAGCTGTTGATCCTGACAATCGTCAAGAAGTAATTTGATACGCCCCACATCCCACATAATAAACGATGGGATCGTTCGGTGAAGAAAAAAAGCCACCGCCCATACTTGCTCCTTGGTTAAGGCGATTTCGGCCTCGGGATGGGTAAAATAGGAGTAGAAATTAACGCGCGGGAACTCTGCAGGAACCTGCGGCGCGCTCTGCGGCTCCTTTTCTAACACAGACGCCAACATTGGCACCGAAGAGGAAGGATTGGTAATCGCCCCGAAGGAGGCGTCTCCCACGCCGTATCGATCGTACTCGTCGTAGATTTCCTCGTTCAAAAGCTTCTCGACGACGTCTTCCATCGTGACCAGGCCAATGGCTTTATCCATGTGTTTGGTGGCCGCCTCGATGCTAGAGAAGTCCTTGGCGGGGAAGACCAGCGCCATGTGCGTTTTGAGATCCTGAAAGATCCGCAGCATCGTCGGCAACGGCGTGCTTGACCTCACTATCACCAGTGATCGGTTTCTTTCCTTCACGATCTCCGCCACGCGCGTCGGTTGCCCCTCGGGGTTGATATTCGCCGTCAGGAGATCTTTCACGACGAGGACGCTGTCAAAAGTGCCTTTTTCCGACATCACCGGAACGCGCGAGCGCCCGGAGAGCCAAATTTGTGAGATAAAATCCGGAGTCACCAAGTTATTTTTGTGGATATACGTGATCTTATCTAAAGGCTGCATGACATCCAGCACCTTCGACTCCTGAAAATCCATCGCGGAGAGAAGCAAATCGAGCTCCGCCTTTGACATCCCTCCTTTATTATTCCCTTTCCGTTCGTATTGCAGAACCATCAGCCTCCGCAGCTCGTTTCGGTCGTATATCTGCCCGCGTTCTTTCCCCCCGACCACCCAATCGAGGAATTTCCCCAGCGGCATCGAAACCGGGTAGGTAAGGATCATCGCGAATTGCACGAAGATCGCGCCCCAGGCGGCCACGCGCAGGGAGTACTTTGACTTACAAATCGACATCGGCACGATCTCGGTCACGACGACCAGGAAGGTGCTCCCGGCGAACTCCCAGAGCCGAGTCCAGTACTCCTCCGCAGAGGCCGCGAGATGCGGGGAGGGCCCTGCCCCCGCCGCGATGATCGCGCGGAACTCCTGCACGACGAGGACGTTGCAGAGCATGTTGGAGATGATGAGCGTGCAGAGCGTCTTGTGGGCGTCCGTGCGGAGCGGGAGGATCTTCTCGGCGTAGACGCAGTCCGGCCGCCGCCCGCTCTCCGCGATGATCTCGAGGGTGAAGGTGTCGATCGTCATGACCCCCAGCGTCAGGCCAGCGAAGATGGCGGAGAGGAGGATGTAGACCCCAAGGCGCAGGCTGTGGTTCAGCAGGGAGAAGGAGGACGGGCC